CAGAGCTAGACAAGTGAAGAAAGCTACTTGGGTTAAAATATCTGCCAGATTAAGCTTTCAGGCTGTGTTTACACCACACTCAGAGTGCTGTGTGGAGAATCCCAAGCTGGATCTGGTGGAAGACAAGTCAATTAAGGTTTGTCTTATGGGCTTTGCTACTGTAACTAGATTATTTCTGGGACTCACTGGTGTGCTGATGGTGCTTTGTTTCTTAGCTATTAACAGGTGGACATGACTTAAATTTATCAGTTCCTAAAAAGCTAAGTTTGGGCTTATTAAGAGATGCATTAATGTGTCTATAAGTGATACAATCATTTGCAGCCTGTGCTAATTAAATATGTATTGATTTATAGATCAAAATGCCCATAAATCTGTGTAATGGCAACTGCAGAGGAAGAACAAAATAAAAAAATACAGCCTGTCTGCAGGGAGGATTTATACCCAGCCCATTTTTCTAACTAGAACTTCGGTTTCAACAGTCACCTTGCAATTATTCTTAATATTGATCTTGGCCACACTGAAGAAAAAGATTCTTACTGACTGCAGTGGAGTCAGGTTTGCACTCAGCTTTTGCTACTGTTAATCAATTACAACATTAAAGTTCATTTGGGACACACTAAATAAAAATCCTATAAATTCTGGTCTTCGTTCTCAGTGGAGCTCAACTTTCAGAAGAAACAAAAGTTCAGTCTCCATTACAGCTATTTGAAGGTTTGGGAGACTTTTCCCAAGTTGTTTAATGGCAAGTTGTTTAAGTCTCTAAGTGCCACATTCAGAGATGTCTAATGGACTGAATTAGGACTACTGGAACAAGTTAGAACTTCTGCCCCAGGAAAAGCTTCCTGCCATAAAAATGGAAATTACTGGACTCTAAGTTGCATCTGCCAGATTCCTTGTTCTAAAAATACCTGAACAACTTTGTATTTCAGTGGGACAGTTGTCAAGACTGGAAGTGTCTCAACCCCTAATTTGGAAGACTTGTTCCCTATAAGAATCATAGAATAGTTTGGGCTGGAAAGCACCTTAAAAATCATCCAGTTCCAACCCCCCCGCCATGGGCAGGAACACCTTCCACTATCCCAGGTTGCTCCAAGCCCCGTCCAGTCTGACCTTGGACACTTCCAGGGATGGGGCAGCCACAGCTTCTCTGGGCAACCTGTGCCAGGGCCTCCCCACCCTCTCAGGGAAGAATTTCTTCCCAATATCCAATCTAACCCTGATCTGTCAGTTTGAAGCCATTCCCCCTTGTCCAGTCACTACAGTTCCTGACAAGTCATTCCAGCAGCACAAGCTCCACTCAGCACTGTCCCAATTCCTTCTAGACTGATAAGGTGAAGCTTCAAATTCTGTTTAGATAATCCATGGAAACCTAAAATCAACAATTTTGAAATGGGTTTGATTATTCAGTGACTGTCTGAGAAGGGCAGCAGTTGTACACCAGCCTAACCAGGAAAATAATCCACTTGGAGGTATTTTCCCCTCAGGCTGCTGTCAGGAATCCTGAAACACCATAAAGTGACCATGATAAGAAAGCTTACCAGAATTAGTAAATATTTGGTTTAAATGCAGCAAAGATGGAGAGAGAGAACAAACAGTCCGTGCTTCTGTGCTTTATCCCAATGGAACTGAGGGATACAGCATTCCACAGCCCCACTCATACAAGCATCTTGCTTGAAGCATGGCAAAGAATTGTATTTTACATTATTTATATAACTAGTTGTCCTGACTCTGTCTGTGTGTCCATTTTTTTGGGGTGAAAAATGTGTATCTTTCCTGCAACTCCCTCTGGAGTTGATTTTTCTGCTTATCTGCGAACTCCCACAATACAGGAGCATTTCCCATGGCTCACTACCAAAGCCAATGGAAGAACCCTGGAATAACAACCTCTGACTTCTGAGATAAGCAACACATGTTTCTGTATTGCAAACTTCAAGTTCCTGACAGAACTTGGATACAAAATATATAAAAAAATACTACAGGAAACTAAATACATGGTTGTTTGGGTTTCTTTTTTCTTTTTCATCTTCCCTTTTTTTTTTTTTTTTAAGAGATTTATCATTTCTTCAATGATAATGGAAACATTATTTGCTACTGCAACTGTTTTTAGAGAAAAAAATAAGACTATTCCTAAAGATCTGGTAAATCAAAATTATTTGTATAAATCAAAGGTTTCTGCTCACTTTACAGCCCCTTCTAGAAGAAAAACTAAATACTTCATTGTTACCCATTAACATTAACCCAGAAGTCCATTAATTATGTGGCTTTCCCTTGTGCCAAAGTTCCCCGAGTGTTCCAGGACACGTTAGTGATGTTGGGTCACGTACACTTGGAATCTGCAAATTTCAGGGAAGAAAACTCACTTCCCAGACAGGTTCAGCACCATGAGAGCAGCAGCTAGGGGAGATCTTTGCCACAAAACTTCTTATGATTTCCAAAGACTGTGTGATTATTTGCAGAGTTTTTGACATGAAAACAAATGAAGAATAAAAAGTATTTGAACTTATCCTTTAGATCAGGCAGCAGTTCAACAGGACCAGAGGATCTGCACCACTAAAACTGGCTACTCCCAAAGGATGTATTTCCCCAGCTCGTTCACCACTCCACTTGGGTTTTTTTCTTGCATCTTCTACTCTGAAACATAATTTTGTATCTTTTAACCTGCAAGATCCTATAACCTCAAGTATCTTCTTGACCCCCCTATCTGCACAGAACAAAATAATCCTCATCAGGAATGGGGAATAAAATTATAATTTTCAGACAAGTCCTGAGTGGAACAAAAAGCTTTCCAGCTGCTGATTACTTCCTGGGATTCCAGGACATGTTATGAATTTACATGACATATGTCAACCCACAGAAAGGAAGCAAAAGACTAAGCAAGAAAGCCCTGAGGAGAAGCACCATCACTTATGCAAGAATATTCCTTTCAGTCTGGCTCATGAGCAGGAACACACTGCTGGGAGCAATCACTCAAATGATTGACTTCAGACTTTTGTGCTTGTGAGTAAACCAAATTTCCAATATTCCAAAAAGAGTTAAGAACCAAAGAAAGTCCAGAACTACAAAGCACCAAGGGAAAGAAACCTGGACTTCAACTCTGCTTTAAACCCACACAGCGGCACTGAACTTGACTGGTAACATTCTGAAAGGAATTCTCTCCTGTTTTCCTGTCAACACAGGAACTGATTGTCCAAATAATAAACTGCTTGTCAGAACTCATCTCCCATCAAGATTTTTTTATCTTTAATTCCTTATGTCCTCAGTAACAAATCTCAAGTCCAACCCTGGTAACTCAGCAGGCTTTCAGAGCCTGTTGACACCTGCTTTATCACTTACCACACCTCCCTGCCACAGGATTCCCTAAGGATCATATCCATGTGCTCAACAGCCTCTCCCTGGTCCAGCCTGCAGGCACCTCCTCTCCAGAGCCAGCCCAATTAAACTGCAACCTCGGAGGGGTTTAGTACCTAAAAAACGCACATTAGTTTGGATTACAAGGTTACCCTGACTGGGGAATATCACACTGAGATACCAAATTAGTTCAGTCTTCCCATTTATATTTTTAGGGAAGGACCCTGAGATCTGAAAGTAGGATTATTTGTTATTTAACTTCAGTATTACATAGAATTGTTAGCAGAATAACAGCAGTGCATCAAAATAGCATTTATTGACCTGATATAACCACATCCTCTGATTACCTGCATCAAAGAACACACACACTGTCCATGACTTACCAGAACTGTGTTATTATACAAACAGAAATAAGCACAAACTATCTCAGCTGTATTCAAAAATATCTATTCAGTTCACCAAAAATATTTACAAAGTGATACCTTTTCTTGTAAAGATTTCTTTAAGCCAGAAAAATTCACAAATAGTAAAGGGAGAATCTAGGAAATGAATCGAGAGCCAAAATATTGATCATTGACTGCAAAAGAAAGTTACAGTTTTGTTTTTATTTTTTTAGGGAAAGCCAGGAATCCCAAAATAATGGTTTGACTAAAGACACTTATATAAATCTTGGGAAAGAACTAATATGCTCCTTCAGTAACAACAGCTACCCCATTTTCAAACTAATCTAGTTGAAAAAAACCTATTTAAAGTCTGTATAATTTTAAGTTATTTATATAGTCACTTCTCTATTAACTACTGTATTTCTTGCTTTATTTAGAATTTATTTCTAGTGTAGAAAAAAGAAAATGCATTTTACAATGGCAAAACCTGTAATTCTCAAATTTCCTTTATGCAAATAGATTTCTATCAGTTCTTAGAAAGTACCTGTTTATTTTTCTCACTTTGCCCAAAATTCATTTTGTGTGAAAAAACAGAAAAGTTCATTTGAATAAAGCCAGAGAACTGATCATTTTGGCCCCAGGTCAAAAAAAAGAAAAATCAACCCGACAAATCTGGACATCACCAAAAAAATTCCTCGTGTGCCAAAAAAGTCATATCTATAAGATATAAAGCTCCTCTGTCAAGCAACAGGGAGCCAGTTCCAGTGGTGGTTACCAGCAGGACAAGGGGGACATCTAGTGCTTACCACATCCATGTGCTCCTACACTCTAGCCTTCCCAAAAATCCCTGGAATAGACTGCCCTGGGGTGTTAAATGCCATAGAGCTCGTGGTAGTACCTGTGTTTAAATGTCTCTATTAAAAGATGCACATCTCAAATATCTCCAAATGTTTTCCTTTCATTACCTGAATTAAAACAAAAACAACCAAGAAAATGGGAAAAAACTATGCAAAAATTTGTCTAACCCAGAGATAAAAAGATCCACCTTATATATTAATGCTATATTGTTCTAATAAAAGCTATAAAGTGCTATGTTCTTGAGTCATTTGCTGCAACTGGGATCCAATCCTTGCAAAAGCTGCCCCCCAAAGGACCATCCTGCATAGCATTTACTTACAGACAGGGCCATATTACAGAGAGGTTTGAAAAAGTCACAGACTCAAGCAATAGAAAGTTCTCCTTATCTCCAAAAACATAGAGACTATAAAAGAGGCTTTAGAATTTAACATTTTTTCACTAACAGACAGTGCAAGTCTCACTCTGGAACCAAGACAGTCTGTTCAGACTTTTCTAGTTAGAAAATAACCTGGTAGAAGAGCTAAGTGCTTTATTACAGTTATGGCATTGTTTGTCTCAGGTTCTCTGCACTAATAATACATTAAAAATAATACAAAATAGTAATTAAAAAGTTTGGTGCTCTTTTCTCATACCCTTGTCATGTTGGTTACTGGGAAAATGACTGTTTTTCTCAAACCATTCTCTTCTGTTTGTTCTGGGGATCCAATTCCAACCTTTGTTCCCAGATCTGTATTCTTTATTTTCACTTTTGACTGCAAAAATTGCACTGCTGAGAAGGGCAAGGAATCACGAACTGTATCATTTGAGAATCACAAAACCTTATTTTACAACTCTAGTGTGTGCAAATCATCATTTCCACGAAATTTAATAGTTACAAATATCCTCAAACCATACAAGTACAGTAGGTTCTACAGAAGGTAACATGGATAACCAATATTCTACTGCTTGGAACAAAACCAATAAATAAAAGTTTAAGTATTAAAACTAAGAAATAAGTATTCCTGTACATTGTACAGTACCTTTTGGTTAAAGTTTCTTAGCAAAAATATACTAATGTGTTCTAAGCATTCCAGTTACAGATGGTTCAATATTAAAATTTCAAGGTTTCCTCATCATGAAAAAAAAAATATTGCATTTTTCCAGAGGTGCAGCAGAAGTTGTGTCTCTCTGAACAAGGCTTCAGTCTTTAAAAATATATATAGACAGTAAGTTTGAATCCAACTGAGACATTAAAAAAACTATAATACAGTACTGAGGATGTGTGGTTGTTGTGCATTATGGGTTTTACATTCCTTCTTATCCCAAAAAAGCAACACTAGAGAGCCCATTGGATGTCACTGAGGTCAGCTGGGTCCCCAAGGCCTCCATCAGCCTCCAGGTAATTCATGAGAGCTGTCATGGCAGTGTCATCATTTTCACATATTGCATCAAAGTCCAGCTGGGAGTTACCACCTGGGAAAGTGATTAAAACATCAGCATAAGCAGGAAGAAGCAAGAAGAACTTTCAAAACGTAACTGTTTTTAAACAGCACCTAAATTGGCCCCCTTTTAGTCTAAAACCAATTAACCCTTTTCCTAACATTGGTGGGTTTGGGCTTTTGTACAAAATAAGGAGAAAGAAAAAAAAGCTCCCAAAATATCCCCAAGAGAAATCAGTCTTACTGAGTAGAGGCTCATTGTTGGGAAATGGAATAGCAGCCCGGGTTTGTTCGGAATTCTCCAGAACTTCTGTTTCTGAAGGACATAACTGGATCAACTCTTTATTTGGCACCTGAAAGAACAGAAGGAATGAAAAGGACAGAATTAAATCCTAACTTTAGTCACAATTATTACATTACAGGAACATTATAAATTGCTGTCAGATTGTGAAGAATTAAATAGAGAAAGTGAAAAACAGGCATCAACAGGCAGATCTTCTGCATTTAAAAATAATTTCCATGTCCACAATAAATTACAAATTCCCAGCAACAGGTTTGTTAATGTCAAAATGTTCCAGCTAAAAGATTAAAAAAACCCCAACTCATACCTACCATGTTCTATGTGCATTACACTATACTAATCATAGCAACAACTGAGATGAAAATCATCCTAGTCCAAACCAATCAGAAAAAAATAATATTTTTTACTTTTCCCCCATTTTTTTAATGTAACACACACATGAGATTTAGCAGGACAGTTTCTTGGACTGCCTGATTTCCACTAGGGAATTAATAAAGTTGAAATGCTTTCCAAAAGTATTCTGGGAACATTGGGATACCAAAGCACAGAATAAAGAAAATCCTTCAATGAATACAGTGAAATTATCCTTATGACAAGATGCTGCATGATTTAGAGTTCAGTATATATAAATCAACTAATATTTGGCAGACAAATCTGTGGTAACACAGGGGAAACTGATCATAAGAAAAGGGAAGAAACCAAAACAATCCCTAGCCCAGAGTAGTGTTGTTAGGAAATGAAAATTGCAATGGGATGATAAATTGTATTTAAATGGAAAGAAATTTACTTTCAAAAAGTGCTGATGGAGAGGTAAATGTTTATTCACACAGTGCATATAATACAATAGAAAATACAGTTAAGTTAAAAAATATCTTAATTATTCCATAGCTACGGTTAATAAGTACAATAAAGTTATTAGTGTGTGTAGCACCACAAAATTAGCAAAACAGCATGTCCTAACAATTTTTAGACTACTGGAACACCTTCAAAGTCACAATTTTAAACATTTCAAAACAGCACAGATTTTTTTAAAGGGTCTTCAAGAACATAAAGATTAAAAATACAAGTGAGAGAAAACCAGAGCTGATCTTCAGGTTGTCAGACTGAAGAGGTGACTGATATTAACCTTGTAATTTTAGATTTTTACAGTAGTTCCATACTCACATTGCTGCAGTTCACAGGTAAAGCTGGAGAAGGGGACTTTCTCAGGAGATGTAATGGACTTAACTCCCCTGATGGTGAAGAATGCAACCTAAAATTGCATATATTTAGTTGATTTACCAGGTCCCATTAATCAAACACTGAATTCTGCCCTTTTGTTGCAGAAGCCAGTAGAGCTCCCCAGTGATGAAGCTCTGGTCAGGTAAATTGAGACAACAAGGTCTTAAATTCTAACTAATGCTCAGATAACTGATGAGATGATATTACCACCACCCTGAATTTGACCTTAACAAGAGTGGTTGGACCTTCTGATGAAGCCTTAACTCCTGGAAGAGTTGGGACTGGAAACAGGTTTACATTCCAGGACAACACAGGCTATGGAAGTGTTTCAAGGAAAGTTTTCCTACCAGAAAAACATAAACACTACTCTCAGACAACTCATTTCCCATTCCCAAGTGGTTTATCTACCCAAATCAACACCATGTGAAGCAGCTGCACCACAGTAACACTTTGGAAGTCACAGTTAAATAATCCTTTCCTCAAAGAAAATGGCATGGCCAGAACAAAACTGTTTATCCACACCAGGGATGTGTTCTGCCATTACTACATTAGATTAGAACTGGTATCTCACAATGCCACTGCTCAGCCTCAAAATATTTGATACACTTAATAAAAATGAAACCTGAGCAACCCCCACATATCATATAAACCTCTTCCCCACCTTTGTTAAAATCCCAATGATGATGTTGAGCATTTATTACCTTTGCAACTCTAATATTTCATTTGCAATTTCGGTTCCTATACTTCCAGCACCAAGGACTGTTCCAGAGGACATTCCAGGTACACTTACAGACTGTTTTACAGCATCTAGAGGTAAAAAAAACTCCAAAGCTTTAAATCTGTAGCAGTTTAATTGCACAGCAAGGATTCATTTTAAAGCAGTTTTTGTTCTGTATCTCTTATTTTCAGAAATTAAATTCTTGAAAACACTGATTCATGGGGGAGGGTGTTGTGAGCCTCCTTTGCAATATAAAGCCAAGTGAATAATGTATTTGTGAAAACTGTTGCTCTCCAGTCATGAAATTAGCTTTAATTACTGCCACCTCCAGTCTCTCTCACGGACAATGCAAAGCATATGAGGGAGAAAAACCGTCTGATTTGTCACAAAAAAATATTAACTAAATGTGTATCTATGAATACTGCTCTGTATTCAACAGGTAAACTCAGAGCACAACTGCATTTCTTCAGAAAAGTGGATAAAATATTAATAAATTCTGTGCCAGAAGCATAATATCCTACCAAACAAAATCCTTCCTACAACAGAGGCTGCTAGAAATTAAAAATATGCTTCTGTTTACAGTTCTGTGAATGATATGAATTAGGATGCTAGTAGCTAGAAACTGTCACCAAAATTAGCTCCTTGCACACAATCTACAGTAAAAAAATTCCTGGAGGGCATAAATCTGAAATGACTGACCAGGAAAAGCACGTCTGATAACTGTAAGAAGCAACACTTGCCTTCTGCAGGCTGGGAACTGTAGAAAACCTCTTCTTCAGTTGACTCCTTATGACCTCTGAGATTTACATACATTAAAAAAACAAACACACACACACACAAAAACAAACCACAAAAAAATCAGCTAATTTTTCAAGGGCAAAATCCAGCATATTTACGTTTGATTTCAAAAATACTTCACACAGAATAAAAACTGACATCCTCAAAGTAGTAAAAATGAGAAATTCCTTACACGTTTCTATGTTCAATCCTTTGCACTGTTTCTGGGTGAAATATTAATTCCCACTTATTCTCCAAATAAAAAAGAAAGCCAAGATGGTTGTCTGTGTTCCATGGCAAGAGAACAAGACTGTGAATTTAATTCTCTGAGGGAGAGCAGGTAACCAGGAACAAGTGCTACAAGGACAGGTCACTGGCTGCCTCCCTTCCCTCCTCCAGACAGATTTCCAAGGGCAGGCAAAAGTGTCCCTTGGCTGCTGCCCAGAACTGATTGTCTTAACTGCTCTTCTCTGTCTTCTTGAGGAAAAAGGATATGGGCAAAATAGGTGAGTGATGTTGACTTAAGGCATGAACCAGATACAGAACAAGGAAAAGGCCCCCTTGGCAACTTAGATTTTAATGGAATTAAAATCCTCTCTGTCCCCCGGTATCACTGGAACAATCCAAATTATTGCTCCATCGCAAGGAGAATGAAAAAGAAGAATTAAAAGTAAAAAAGAAGAATTGAACACATCTATTTACTGTCCCACAGGCTGTCAATTCGGAGAGTATCTATCAATTATTCTTCTCCACCTTCTGACACCTGGTAAGTGGAGGAGCCCTTAAAATTGGGTCAACTGACACATGAAGTCTTGTAAAGCCAAGGAGGAAAAGCAGAATTAACTCAACATGTCCATTTACTCATACCACCTTTTCTTAAAAGATCCTTTCTTTCCTCCTCTAAGAAGAAATTCTTTCACCTCATTTTTCCCTACCAGGAAACAGCACAGTTTTCAAAGTCAAATCCATGACTCAGGGCTGAAATAAAAATAGCTGGTAAAGGCCAAAAAATGTTTGTCCAGGTTACTCAGCCCCTTTTTCTGTTGATATTTTCCAGCCTTGTTCTGCTTCTTAAACAGGCTGCTTTCTGCTAATGCTAATTGTAATTAAGACAAAAAAACAACATGGAGATTGATAGGAATTACTTACAATACCACAGTGTTGTTTGACACAATGTACTCCAGTTCTTTGGTCCATGGATTCATGAAACTAAACCACTGACTCTTTAAAGTAACAAAAGTCCCATCTTTTGCTCTAAATTTGTAGGAATTTGTAAAGACTTTTTCTTTATTCTGCAGCACTAGATAAGAAAGGAAAGTTATAGTCACCATATTTATGCTTAGGAAGCTAAAGTTAAAAAGCAAACCACTAGGAGGGAGGCTCAGGACTTGGTGAACTTCCATAATTAGTGTTTTAATGATATTATTTTGTACCTTCTTTATGTTTTTCAGCTAGATGGTTGTGATCATCCTGGTGGCAGTACTCGTAACAAGAAGTTCCTAGAAGCTCTTGGGGCAGGTAACCTAAAATTGCTGTTGCACTGTGAGAAACAAAAACATGAACTCCAGAGTATTCAAACAATTGCAAACCTGTTATTTTCAGGATCAGGTAAAGCAGAAAATTAATATTTAAAGAAACAGTGTTTGAGAAAGGAACAAAGCATTAGTACAGCTCTGAAAGAACAATTCACTGCAAATTATCCATTTGCAATAAATGGTAATTGAAAGACAAAAAACCCCAGTGTTTAAACAAACAAACTACATGTTCACACAAAATACTTATGGTGATTAGGTCATAATTAGCCAGTCAGAGAACTGGTCACACAAAAGGAGTCATTAAAACGCTCAGTAATTGAATTTTACTCTGCCACTCCAAGGAACAGGGTTACATTGACACTTTCAGGTGAAAGAACAGATGAGTGAAAGCAACATAATCTCCAGTGGCAATAATGAAATTCAAAATGCAAAGTCTACACAACAAATCAAATATACTCAGTCTATACAACAAATAAAAGTCTGGTTCAGAAAGTTCAAAAAAGAGGAACTTCTTAGCTTTCATTTCTAATGAAACAATTTGGTACCTCACTCAGACATATCTGTCCCAAACAGTAGGATTTTAAGAATAACTTTTGGTTAAATGCCTACTACTTTAATCATATGCAGAGCTATGAAGCTCTAACTTGAGATTTTTCTTTATGAATAAATAAGTACATGAGTGCATTTTATAACACATTTCTACAGAACAATACACTTCTATACACTAAGCTTTATGTTTGGGGAAAAAAAAAACACAAGAGCCTAAGTACTCATAGATTCAGACTGAAATATTTCCTGTATACAGCAGGAAAAACTCTGAAAATTTTTCAAGAATTCTAATTAGAAATTCCGTCCTGCTCAAATTTCATTAGTGGTGTCAATGGCATTTTCTCTCCACAAAGAACAAAACACTCACCGCTGATCTACATAAACAAACTTCCCATCCATGGCAAACCGGGTAACAAATTCTGTTGCTTTGACTTTTATCTCTCCACTCTTTTGGGGAACAATATAAGGGTGTAACCTCCCAATTGCAACAAGGCAGTTAAAGTTACTACTGTCCTTTTCTGCATCATTTTCTTCTTCTACTCCCACCTCATTAGGAGGCCAGTTCTTCAAGTACCCAGTACAGTGAATGGTGCAGTATTTCCTGTGATCTGATAAAAAAAAAAGAATTAAGAAGCAGTTATTGTTCAAAAAGAAAACCAAACTACTTTTTTCACTCTATTGGCCACGAGACCAGCAACTACATTTTATTTTTACCTACAAGGCTATAGATAATTTTACAGAGCAATTTTAAATTGATTTTGTACTACTTAATTTTGACTTACCTGGAGAGAGTGCTTCTAACCCTATGTAAGATTTAGGAAGATAAGTTATAGGTGTTGGCAGTTCAAACATAGCGTCACAATAAAAAAAATCAAACCAACAGTCTGGTAACCACAGCTCACTTTGTCTTTATATGGTTTCATATGGATTATAAATTTAAATTCACTGGAAAGGCCCTCTGCAGCTTCTAAATCAACTTATTCTTTGTGAACACAATGATTTTAACATATACTTACTGCAACTGCTAAAAGAATCAATTGTGAACAACCCAAAACAATCCAGGTTATTCTCTGTTTATCTGAGGCTTCTGAATTCCACAATTTTCTCGGAATACAAATATTTTACATGTCTTAAATTACAGCACATTTGTCACCTACATAACACATAAACACCCTCATATGCATCGAGGCATAGAGATGATTTTACATGTCCTACAGGAACTGTCTTCCCCAAAAAAATGCCAAAGCATTCCTGATATCTCTATGCTTTCCATAGGTTTGATTTCCTCTCAACTAGAAAAAAACCACCTATCAACTCCATAAAATGAGAAACTGAGTTATCCCACTGTGACTTTGTCCCAGTTTCCCAGGTGCTTTCCCAACAAACATTTATCCAAGTTATATTCTTATCTCACCGAGTTATTTGACACATCAAGGGATACCAAATTCTATTTTACTTACAATTATGGGTCTCTTAAATTTTACAGTTGTGTGGTGTATCTCAACAGTAAGAGGTTACTTTGAAAAAGAGAAGTTGGAGGGTTTTTTTCAGGATCAAACAATTTCAGCACACCTTTGCAAAAATCAAGACTAAGGTATTAAACAAAAGCTGGAAATAACATTTTAAAACTGAAATTCTCACTGCAAATTTGACAAGAGTAGATTACTGTAGAGGCATACCAAAATATGAACTAAATTACAATTCTTGGAAAAATGAATGGAATTACACTGATAAAATAACTTTACAATGAAAAGGGGAAAAAAATGAAAACTCATACTTTCAAATACACACAACACAAAAAGTAAATCAGAAAAAAAGTTGGTTTACTTGCTTTTTTTTTCCTTCAAAATAGTAGAGTTTGCAGGCCTTATTCACTCAGTTGTCTTCAAGACAAAGTTATTTAGTTTCATTCTTCTGATCTGCTCCATTTCTTTCAAATATTTCCCTGAGACTTCTAAAATTTGACCACCATAGACCACATGCTCCTAAACAGCCACTGTAACTCCCTCCCTCCCTCTTTTCCAGGAGGGAACAGGGAGGAGAAAGGGTACAATTAGACTGTTTTTCCAATTTACACTTCTCTACAGCTACTTTGTGAGATCAGCGAGAACTACAAGGGTCACAGAAGTGGCTGGGAATTTAAACTTCGAATTTAAATATACCAAATTTCAAGACAAAAAGCCCCCCTTTGATCTACACTGGTTGAATACCTTTCTTCTTTGGGTTGGGCAAACACTCCTTCTCTTCCTTCACTGTGGTCCTACTACACTTTATCCGACAGAAGAAGGAACGGCGAGCCCCGGAATTCAGCCGAGCCGGTCCAGCTTGGAAATCTGTGTGGACTTGCAAGCCAGCTTACAAAAATTCAGTAAAGCAGTTAAAAAAGCTTAAAATCAGACAGTAACACTTCAGAAAACATGTAGCTTCTAGTATTACATTCTCCTAAATAAATCTTGGCCTTACAATGAAATAAGTCTAAGCTTAAATAATAAATAAAACACAGCTGTCCCACAGATTCCAGAATTAAAAACGAGCTACCAAATTAATTTTTAAACCCCTCTTGGCATTTTGAGTGGTATTTTAATAAACTTTCAACTTGTTTTTGGCACAAAGATGCTTGTAAAAGCCAGCTATAAAATAGCCCTGAGATGCACAGTACATAAGGCTCTCCGTATTAGAAGTAACTGTAAGCAGAGGAAGGTTTGGTTACATTAGGATTGACACTTAGCATTTTCAGAGAAGACAGGGATTCTTGATATTGGAGTATTTTATCCCATCAGGTCTTTTGTATTGACAAGACCTAGCAAATACAAGAAAAAAAAGTAGTGTTCCTGGTAGGAAAAAGGTCAGACCACAGTTTGGTAAATGTTCAACAGTGCAAATCTCAGTCATTCTTATGATCTAAAATCAATTATTTTCTGGGCTAACTTTTAACTGCAAATGCATTCTGAGCAGCAGATACACATTCAAATGGGTCACAAGGACACCCAAGCACATAAAAATACATTAATCTATCCTGGACAATAACTAGATTTTCTGACATCTCTTTAAAAATAATCTGAGTTCAAACATGACTTACTTTTGCCATCCACGAGCTTCTCCCGAGGGGAGACATCTGAGGAAGAAAGTTGCTCCTTGACTTTTGCAACATCTTTTGGATGCAAATAATCAAACAGGCTTTGTCCAATTAAACTGGCCTGTTTTAAAAACAAAACAAAACCCAGAAGAGATGAGAACCACACCAGTTTGGGCCTCCACACGTGTTACTTTATCTCAGAAAAATAAGTGTCAGAGTAGAAGTTTAAAATAAAAATGAAATCTGCTTTATGCTTGTTCCCCTAAGATTATTCATTTCACTTCAACTGAAAAGGATAGTTTTGCTTTCTTTCTTTAAAAAAAAAAAAAAAAAGATAAAAATAAATGTATGGAACAGAGTCCAGATTGGTGATCCTTACATTAGTGAAGAAAATCCTTCCATTTATGAAGAAAATCCTCACATTTCTGAAGAAAATGAAGGCAGCATAAATGGGTTTAAAGTTATACAAGTAGCCAGGTGGCAGCACTGACTGTTTTAGCCTCTGTTTGCGAAACAGAAGTCACAGATTCATGAACAAATTACCATGCCTTGATTACTTGTGGTAATTGCCCATGATGTTAAAGGTCAACTAATCAAGGGTATTTTGTATTTTTCCTATTTCCCTTATTCCACAGGCTGAGTCCCATTCAGGTCGTTCTTGTGGATAATGTGTTATGCAGTGCATCCAAGCATAAAGGCATCACCAAGGAAAGCATTAATTAACCTCCACTGCTGAACTACCAGTTTTCCTTGGCCTAAAAAAAAAACCCTGAAAATCACTTCACTATGTAAAAGAAAATCTCTTGCACACAGAAATTAGGACATCTTCCAATTATCCTCTCAGAGTAGCAGTTTTCTTCAGGATGAGCTGAAATCTGGGGCTGTTACTCAGGTCAGGAACACTTAGTGTACCTGCAAATATTTTATTACAGGATATTCAGCCTTACTCTGAAGAAGCTTTAAAGAAATTCCAAGAAAAGATATACCAGGTCTGGTTTAAACCAAAGAAAGTCCAAGAAATGGTATAAATAATAAAAATGTACAAGTTTTCAAATTTCTCAGAAAATGCAAGGTAAAAGCAAAACAAGAAAGTCAACTACAACCAACCTGATCATAATTCAGTATTTTGCAAACTGATTCAGAGACAAACAGGATTTTTCCTCTGTTGCATCCAACCACAAACAGGAATCCATCTGCAGCCTGGAAATATAAAAATACTGTCTTTAAAAGCATGCCATTAAAACATTACTACAAGAAAGCACATTTCTAAACCTGATTTTTAAAGTTAAATACAAGAAGGATGGAGAGGAATTATTTGCAAGGGACAGGACAAGGGGGAATGGCTTCAAACTGACAGGCAGTAGGTTTAAATTGGATATTGGGAAGAAATTCTTCCCTGGGAGGGTGGGGAGGCCCTGGAACAGGTTGCCCAGAGAAGCCCAGCTTCACCTGGGAGTCATTTACAGATCTGGGCAAAGTTTGTTACAAAATTCAAGTTAATAAGGACATCATTCAACTGAGAGTTTCCTTCCACTTACCCTCAGGATTAACTGCCTGAGTTCATCATCCTTTAAAAATGAAGGTTTATATCTGACTTCTGAATAGGAGCTGCTGGAACCTGGAAAACGGATTAATCCCAGACATAATGTCAGATGTTACATTTTAAATTTACTTTTAAAGGAGTTATATTTATTATATATTTTGTATTTTTTTCTCTGTGACCAGAACAGCTGAATAAAAAAAAATAATTAAAAGTTCTAGGAATTCTAAAAATTTAAAAAAATCTCAAATGTACAAGTACATAACCATTTTTTATTGCGAAAAATCAAAAAAACACACTATTGTAGTTAAACTGAATGTCTCACTAAATGTAGTGAGACTGACTCACTGCATGTGCTGTTCTAGTACCCATGGCAAGTACCCTAAAATAAAGAATTTTTATCCATGACAGGCATTTCTATAACGTTTTCTAGATATTTTTTGACGTAAATAGCAGTTGAACTTTCCACCAAATGTCACCATTCACTATAATTCCACAGAGCATCTTGTGTTTCTTAAAGCATTTGTTTTGAGGATATATATAACTGTGCTGGGTGAAGCCCAGTTTTCACATCCTATTGTTAAAACATAAATGTTTGAGCTGAAGATTTCTTGTAGATGACTGTTTAAATTGCAAGTCCCCAAAATCTTGTGTTCTGCTGACAGACTATGCAATATGCAACTTGCATTTGGATATAATTTTTTTAGGGGAGGAAAAAAAATATGAATCCCAAACCCCAGCAATAGCAAAAGGAGAGGAAAGAATATTTCCTGGGTTGATCCTGACGCTAAACATTCCCTGAGATCCATGATTATTTTAACTTTGCCAGCTGACTGAGGCTACCAGGAGTTTGTAACTCTTTTTCTTGGTACTCTTTAACATGTAATTTTTAAGACTTTAACATTATCAAAGTCATCAACCATTTTGTTCAAGTATGTTTTGTCTTGCAACTTTCCTTTTGACTCCTGGACTTTTAAAAAGAATCAAGGAATGACTTGGCTGCAAGATAGAAAATATCAAATACTGAAGGGTGGCTTTTTTCCTGCTATACTAAGCAAAAAGAAGACATTAAGTTCTGAAATATACAGATGGAGATTTAAATGAGGAACAGACCCAGAACTAAATACAGTAAGGAAACGTAAAATGAGTTATCCTTGATTTATCTGAGATCAAAGAAGATACACAGTTTAACTACTGTTAGAACAAGGATTAAGTTTCCTAAAACCCACCTTTTAAAGACTTTAAGTGCTGCACAGCCATCCTTAACACTGTGAGCTTGTCCAGCTTTCTGGCCATGGGGTTGCACTGAGGGATCATAGCAGACAATTCCTCTATCAAATTATTCATTTTATCTCTCCTTCGTTTCTCTGTTTGACTGTGAGCCTCTCTAAGAAGAAAAAATATTTTAAAAAAGAGATGTAGAACGCATGATTTTTTTTTCCCCATAACATTCACCAGTTCAATTTTGGCATGGAACACACCCCACAAGTGCTACTGCATTGAAACAATTTTCATACACTTGGAGAACTGAATGGGATTCACTTGAACAAAAGAAATGGTCACAATAATGATGGGAAAAACTGAGGAGGAAAAACATTGTTGAGGAAGAATTTGATTATATGTGACCATGAAGACTTATAAAAGTTAAATTATTCTTGTGACCTTTGGCTTACCTGGACACCCTACTGTACAGAGGAAAACTCCAGATGTCCTTAGGAATTCCTAGGAGACATTTCTGCTTCCTGGCCTTATCTCTGTAACTGTGTAATGGGATGGGGTGTAGGAGGGGGTGTTCATTCTGCTCTTTTCCTTTTCAAAAAGAATGTCCCAGCACAGGCTGAAATCTGTTTTATGCAACTCTCAACACCTAGAGATGAGCAGTGTCTTCCTGGTAACTCATTCCCTTAAAAACCCCTCAGATTGAAGGCAAACACAAGCATTTATTCCCAGCACAGCAACAAACAATACTGTTCCTTGGGATTTTAAGGGATGTAGTGGGAACTGAAAGAAAAAGCTATGCCTTGTGTCATTTACCAGAATAACTCAGAAAACTTTACCTTTCCTGGTAAGGTGAGAAAGAATAAAGTGCAGTTTTAAAGACCTCGTTGTCTGTTATTTTTATTACTTCGCTAAAAAATAAATGTCTCCACCACACAACTGATTCTAGGTCATTCTGCCAAAAAATCAGTTTTTCTCCGTCTAAAGCCTTTTTTAAAAAAAATTAATTGTAGGAGTTATACTCAGCTATAGAGGTTCACCTAACTCCAAGGGTCAATAAGAAGTTATAAAAAATTAAGGTGGGTGCAGAAATTCAGGTGATGACTGCATGACTCAAAAAGCCTTCTGTTACATTCCCAGTTACAAAGGGGAATGAAGAAAAGCTGCAGGAAAAAAACACTGGAAAAACACAACTGGGAAGAAAAGCTCCAGAGAGTCTTCTATTTTTTTTCTTCCAACTAATGAACCAAAACTCAAGGAAAAAAAACAAACAGTACAACACAAAAGTCATTAAATATAATCTTTTATAGCCATCTGGGATACTCTCTGAAGAAAAATGAATTTTGAAGTTAAACAAAACTGTAAATATATCTTGGAACATTTTAGTTTCATTGATTTCGTTTAGATTACAGGGACACTTCACAATTATTAGTTAGCACAGTATATAAATAATACTTCTGACAGCATGCTGAGTGGATTATGGATTTCTGGTTTGACATCTCTGCTCACATGAAAAATGCAACACACTTATTTTTAAATCAATTTTATAGAACAGCTCTAGTTTTACAAAGTGGCTTGTCTACAGTTGAAAATATTTGGCTGAATTGTGGATGCATCTTACAAGTGAATTTCAACTGATGTGAATTCAAAGTTGAGTGGCAAACCTTGAATAATTCCCTATACAAAAATTTGTTCCAGGATGAGAATTCTCTGTTGTGCTTTAGCTGAATCCATTTCTATGTGGGAAATTTTAAATATCTGCAGGTGTGGACAAATAAAAAAAACCCAACTCTCAAATTCACCCAAATGAAGCATCAGCTCCTCCTTTTATATATGACTTGAATGTTCTGCATTTAATTTTCACCTTGAAAATTTCATTCTCCTGTTTTTGCTAAACCTTCTGAGATATTCTGCAGCAACTTTTATTAAAATTAGTAGAAAATTCCTATACAATTAGCAGGGAAGGGGAAAAGTATACTGTTAAATATTTGAGAGTTTTCACAAACTCATATTTCACTATTGTGAATCCCATTATTTACTAGCAAAACATATTTCTATTGTAAATCAGTACCTGAAATCTTTCACTTTAACATGTTCTTCATCTTCACTCCTAGACAAAAATAAGATATAGTTTTACATTGCATATTTAATACCAGGGACTTTTTCCTCCCACAAATTTCAGAAGATATAAAATGCTACAAATTTACTATGGCTCTGGCAAAAGCAAACCCACAAAAATTCCTAAAACCACAGCTCGTGTAGCAAGTGATGCATAACAGAAAGAGACCAAATACAACTTCCAATATTCACAGTTGTTTGACCATATTATGGGGATATTTCATAATTATGGGGCTATTTGTAACCTGAAGAAAACAACATTATTGGAATATTCAAATAACTTCAGTCTAAGCTTGATTTTACTTTTTTTATTTAAAATTTTACAAGAGAGATCATCTATTCACATTTTGATTTCTCAAATCTTATTGTCAGATGACGAAATAAGCAATCCTTGCCTACACTGGCCCTAAATTATAGTTTAAAAAGTAAAAATTAAATGTTTTCCTATACCCTACAGCAATGACTGAAAAGTCTATGTGATAAAATTGTAAAGGACACACAGTCATAGTGTCTGTAACACAATAAATATGATAAATGCAAACACAGGAGTAGGTTGGACTTAGGCTGCAAGGCCCTGGGACTTTTCTGAATTGTAACTGTTCAGATTTACATAAGTTAGCAATAACTATTATTTTTTTCTAAAAAAACCACATCCTGGGATCATCAAACACCATAAGCAGATGGTCCAAGAGGTGATTATCCTGCTGTGCTCAGCACTAGTGTGGCTTCCCCTGGAATACTGTGTGCACTTGTGGGCCCCAAAATATAAGGAGGTGTTTGCTGAAGTTGTGAAGGTCCCTGAATCCATCCAGAAGTGTGGCCAAGGACTCCTGGTTTGTCTAGTTTGGAGAAAAGGAGGCTGAGGGGTGACCTCCTTCCTGAGAAGGGGAAGTGCAGACGGAGGTGCCAAGCTCTTCTCCCTGGTATCCAGGGATAGGCATGTAGGAATGGTTCAAAGCTGTGCCAGGGGACTGTAGACTGAACATTACTGAGCTTTTTTTTCCCAAGAGAGTGGTGAAACACTGGAATGGCTTCCAGAGAGGTGGTGGATGCCTGGAGCCTGGCAGTGTTTAAGAGGAGTTTGGGCAATGCCCTTAACAACAAGATTTAACCCTTGGTCAGCCCTGAAGTGCTCAGGTTGATTGCTGTAGGTGCCTTCCAACTGAAATAGTCTTATTCCATAAAAAAAAGCCACTGCATGGCTACTGTAAACAAATGTATTTTTTAAGGAAGGTATCCCAGTTGCAGAAAAAGAAACTGCAACAAAGTAACCATGTCATTAACCATCCCATAACACAGATACACAAAGGGTTTTACTAATGCTGCACAGCCAGTCTGAACTCTGGTTTGCCACCTCATTATTTTAACATAGTTCTATTTCAAAAAGCATTTGAAAAGGTTAAAACAAACATAAATGTTTACATGCACCAGCCCTGTAAGGATATGAGACCTTTCCTTCACCTCCCCAGTCTTCTTATTTAAGAGGTACTTTTCATCTGTTCCGATTCTTAACTTCCATCCTAACAAGTCTGGTGAAGTTGGAAGCAGGGAGAAATGTCTTGGAAAGAAGTACCAGGAACCGTTAACACTGGATGGACCTCCCCCTCCTGTTCATCATCTTGTGCTGTACAAAGCCCTGTCCTTGGATGAAGCATTCCTTAAGGAAACACACAGTTTATCAAGGGAAGTGTGACATGTCCATAAGCACTCAAAAGAGATGGATTCATTCATAAAAAGTACCTTTTCTGAGGATCACCATCAATTTCAGCCGTATCCCTGCAGAAACAGGAAATAAAGTAAGCAAAATGTAGTTTGGAGCACAACAGGATGACTTGAGAGACCCAAGGAAGAAAAGTCACAGAACAATTTTAGTGGAAACCCCACTTGATTCCTTTCAGCAAGAACATCATTTTGTAGGACCTAATTAGTACTTCTTATAAACCAATACTTTTTTGATTAGTTTTTCGACTTGGACCATGATTTTTTTCAATCAGAGAGATCCAAACTTCAGGGAAACTCTACTGATGAACCAACACTTCTACTGAATGGGTAAAAATCCACAAGTGCTACTGAAAAAGAATGGAGAGTTTCTGTTTTTTCCCCCAGAAACTAATTATTGCTGGAGTTTTCAGTGATCCACAAGACACATTTGAATCTCCAAGTTGAAAATTACATCAACACCCACAGTATGGGTACATTCTGTAGATCAATGGAATATACATGGAAGAAGCAGGTATTAAAGAGAATTGCTTTAATAATCACAAATACATGTAAACTTCCTACCTCCACCTTTTTTAAAGATGGGTTTTGCACACTAGTTTGGAGATATTTGCAATGCATTAAATCTAGCTTGTGCCCCTCACTTCTGCCTGATTAATACAGCTTTGAACAGATCACTTTTTTGGTGAACTGGCATCTGTTTGGCAGCTACAAACCAGGAGAAAACAAGTATGAGCCACTTAAAAAGCCTGAGCACAACTATGGGACAGTCCCCATTTTTAGGTAACAGGTCTGTCCCCACATTTAAGGCAGTGGCTGCTTTGGTCACTGAAGCAGCAGTTCCAGATCAAAGAGCTTAATTAACAATCTGGTTTCATGATTGAAGGTAATATTCCAGATGAACTCGGGAGATTTCAAGCAATTTAATAACTTGTGTTTACCAGCACACAAAGCAGAGGGAGAAAAAGGGGAAAAAGACAAAACAAAAAGGTAGGATTGAAATTGCAGCATTAAAGACATTATCCAGACACTTCAGGCCAGGATACGGCATTACAGGATACTGGTTTTAATAACTGGGGGCTGCCAAAGAATGCATCTGGAAGAAAATGTAAAAACTGAAGTTGGGACACAGAGAGACACACTTTTTTTCCTCTCAGGTGTAAACAAATCTTACACCATAAAAGTGACCTTCTAGGTTTTCATTTGCTGCTGGAACATGACTCTGGAGAGCTAAAGGAATATAGGCTAATACTCAAACAACAGCTTGCCTGGTCTTCCACTAATCCTCTCTGTCAAGTCAGACGACACAAAGTTACTCACTGGTTATCGGAATCACTCCCTTTGCGCTTCCTGGGAATCTCAGGCACAGGAGCATTGAAAGGAGTGGTGGTGGCAGGCTTGGTTATGGGATTCATGAGGCTGGAGACTCCAGAGGCAACACACGGGCTCCCATCTACTGGCAAATTATCTGTGAACGGGAATAAAAGCTCAGTGTTCAGGAGGAGCTGCATCAGCATGGATCCATTCGGATTCCCATTGGGACAAGAAGTGGTCTCTGTATGTGGCTTCCAGGTTTCTGACACAGAAAACAAAGGTTGCACTGCTCCAACCTAAGTACAGTAAAGAAGGCATTGTTTTCCCACAGTGCTGTAATGATCTCCTCAACTCCATCAACATAAAACATATATATAAAATATATATACTCCCCTCCTTAAATCCCCCAGCACCTCAGACATCCTGCTGAATCACAGCTGTGGCATGAGTTCACATATCCAAACACTGTGGCTCAAACTAAATTAAAGTTAAAAAATATATAGGGAGCTGTTTCTTAGAACAAGCTGCATAGAAAAAAAATAAATCCAAGTTTGCTACGTTCCTGGTATAAAATCCACAATTACACGGGATATTTGTCATGTAAGATGGAAGGGTCTTGAAGTAGGAACTCTTTTAGGCTTCGCATGCTCAGAACAGATGAGAGACACAGAGAAGTCATTAAGGAAGGGAGCATCTCCTATTTCTAGAAGGGGGCAAAAGCCAAGGTGAGTACTTTTAAAATCCAACAGGAAGAAAAAAATGGATGTTTTCTTCCTCCTTTTTTTTTGGCGTCTGTGCTGTCTGTAAAAGGTAAAAATGTGCAAGAAGAATGATACAAAGCACACTTTTTTTCCTCTCAGGTGTAAACAAATCTTACACCATAAAAGTGACCTTCTAGGTTTTCATTTCCTGCTGGAATATGACTCTGGAGAGTTAAAGGAATATAGGCTAATACTCAAACAACAGCTTGCCTGGTCTTCCACTAATCCCCTCTGTCAAGTCAGACGACACAAAGTCAGCCCCTGTTTTATTTTAGCTCTTTAACTCATTAAGTCACACAGGAAGTCTCAAAAAAAAGAGGTGGAAACTCAAAGAATCAAGAAATACCTGACAAATAAGTAACAGCCTTTCTGCAACAGCAAGAAAACTTAGTTACTTCAGATACACATTATATTCAATTTAGGGATGTTCAAAAGATTAAAAGAAATGTCATGATAAAAAAGATATTAAGAGAAATGACCTGATAAAAAGATATTAAAAAATGACATGCTAAATACTACAAGGGCACAAATGGTAGACATTTGAAATACTTTTATGATTAATCTCCTCTTCCTAATAGTCTCTAATTTTATATTTCTGTTATTAACACAATTATAGAACAAAAATTGTCAATGATTCCAAAGGAACTGTTTACTTAAGAGGAGTAGTTTTAACTCACTGAGGTCACAGCATCCTATAATTATTAGATTAAGCTCCTAAAGTATAATCCTACATGATGAATATTCATAAAACAGTACTTACTAACTAGAGACCTACATGATTCCAAGACAGGAATGCCTCCAGCACAAGAGATCCTTTCGTCCTGGAAAAAGCAGGACAGCACAGACCCACTGACCTAAATACTGCTGTGCACACAGATGGCCAGCCTTTGTGAGCCACTTGCTTTTAAAGGAGCAAAATCCAGTGCCTCTTCCACAGTTTTCCCAATTTATCCATCACACTATCAGAATTACTGTTATTCTTTATACATATATTTTAAGATTTTCAAAAAACAAAACAAAGGAAACACTTAAAAAATAAACAGTAAAAAAAAAAACAAATAAAGAAATCAACTTAAAGTTTCAGAACTACCAAGCACAATAGAAAAGTGGCTCTGTGGAATTTATTACCTACCACTCACTGAGCAAGAAGTGGGTAGAAACAGCTCCTAAGGCCAGGTCAGCTCTGAGAAGTCACTAAAGGTGATGTAAAATAATCTCTGAGGGCTCTCTAATAATTATCATTACACCAGGTAATTCCAAGGTGCTCCCTCTCTCTTGCTGGAGAGGGTCAACCTCGTGGAGTCTAGGATGAAAGATTTCTTCTCCAGCTCTCTCACTTTGGAAGATGGATTATTTCCCTGTAAAATCATTTTTAACTACTAGAAACAGTTTAATTCAACCAGAGATGATGTGTTTTACCACCTCAAGGGCTATAACTTACACTAGCCTGGTTTGCAAGCCCAATAAAACTCCAGCATGGAAAAATGACACTTTTATTACTGTTCATTCCATTGTTAATGCCCCTGGCACACTGACGATTGAAATTTAATGGTAAATGAATAGTTCCTCAAAGACAAGTCCATTATGATCTATGTTTGGCTCTCGGCATTAAGCATATCTATATTAAAAGCTTATTAAAAATCAAAAATCTTTTAAAAGCATGTTGAACACATCAGGACGGACGAAAATAATACAGGAAACCCCCCACTGGAATAATTCTCTCTGTGAAAAAGCAAAGACCATCCAAGAAGTACAAACACACCATGTGGAAAAATAGCTCGTTCCCAGCAAGTGTATCAGAAAAAAACCCTATTATTTTAACGCTAATTGTAGTATATTTTAACACTAATGTTAGTATATTTTGTAATCAGGCAAAGAAAGCATTTAAGGAATGATTATCAATATGCACAGTTCTCATCATCTCAAAATACAAGACCTCAGTCTCTTGTGTTTTTCTACAAGGAAAAGAAATAATAATTCCAGTCCCCAGGGGGTTGGCAAAGATTTGAACAACTGCAAATGAGCTGCATGGAACTCCTCTTTGGGGTGAGATATAGACACACAAAATCAACATATTCCTGTGTTCAGCAAAGCCTCTGTGTCAATCCCATGCAATGCTTTATAGAAACAAGGCTTGGGAGACTCCACATTTTTCCAATAACATTTTCCAATCACGTGTCACATTCCTGAGCTGTTTGCTCCACCAACAGTTTGCAGGTTTTCAGTTCCTAAGCAAACACAACCTATTAGAAAAAGCTTATGGTCCAACTCCACCAGCCATAAAAGGGGAGATTCATCTGAGCAAACAACTATGTCCACATCCAAAGTGGCCACTCCAACCCCTCTTGGAGGGAAGATATTTCCAGGGTGATTCATCCCTACCCAAAATAGATTCCTCCAGTTGGCTACATGGAATACAACAGTTCTAGGGTGATTCATCTCCATCTAAAATAGATTCCTACAGTTGGTTCCATGAGATGCAGCCCAAGAGTATCCACCTTTTACACAAGAACCAAAGCAACTGGCTCAGACTTGGATAGCCACACTTGGACATCAAAAAGGAATGAGATGAATCCTACCCAAGGTGGCTACAGAACTATCATGCAATTCTGCAGCATCTATTGGTATCACATGCAACAAAGCTCAAGACAGTCTTTCAAAATTAATGCCTTAATTAATGCGCTATCACCTCATGACCCACTCACCCCCCTGTGCAAGGTCACCTTTTCCTCTTCATAGGTTTCCTAAATTATTGCTTTAGTACAAAAACATTATTTTGACTTTTTAGAATTATCAGAAGACACATAGAAGGGTACAAGTCATGTATGTGTTAATAAATTGATACAAAAGCTGTCAGTCAACCCTCATTGAGCCAGTTTAAAAAACAGCATCCAAATCCAGCTATCAGGACATGGCAGCAAAGTGGGCTTGAAATAAAATGTTCATGAATAAGTACAGTTATAAAACTTATGGTGACACCCTTTACAGTCTGAGGATAAATGAGACTTGGAGAAAAGTGGTTAATAATGTGGTAACACTGGCACAACCTTTCGAAGAATAAGGAATTTTTAATCCAGCTTCCTATTTTGAAACACTTTCTGGCAGAAGGAAAAGAGGAGAAAGAAGCTGCTTTGAATTGAATTTCTAAGATCACAGACGCCACAAACTATTAAAATGTGGATTTTCCAAAGGTATGCTCCTGGCACACACAAAAGCCTTGAGCTGGAAATTTCAGCTGTGAAAAGTTTAAAGAACTCAAAATTCTGTTGGAGTGGCTGTGAAGTGGCACCAGGAGGGTTCTGTAGCGTAAGTAGATAAGTTATTAAAATTGAAATGTGCTCACAGGAGCTCCTGGGTTGCATCTGCAGTGGGAAATCAGTGGCAGAACAGCAGCAGGTCAGAGGGAAGCAGCTGGTGCAGAAGTCCCTGTTTCTAATTTGAAAGCAGTTCAGGGAGCTTACACTAAATCACATTTACTCTGGTTCACTGGGCCAAAAAATCCTCATAGTGCATGTCTGTTAAAGCTGCCTGAGAACCCCCTGGTTCAGTCCCTGGGGGATGTGTGGGGTGGGACTGGAGCAGCACTGACCTTGCTGCAAGAAAAGTCTACTTTAGTTTCTCCTGAAAGGAGTCCAGTTCAGTAACACCAAAACTGCACTGCAAACCAAACCAGGGAGCAGCAATTTATTGAGTTCTGTCATAATGAACATCCTTTTTTTTTTTTTTTTAAGATATAAGATGGAGGGATGGAGCAGCTCTGCTGTGAGGAAAGGCTGAGAGAGTTGGGAATGTCCAGCCTGAAGAAGAGAAGGCTTTGGGGCGATCTAATTGTGGCCTTCCAGGACTTGAAGGGAGTCCTACAGGAAAGATGGAGAGAGACTATTTCCAGGGATCTGGAGTGACAGGACAAAGGGGAATTGCTTCAAACAGACAGAGAGCAGGTTTAGATGGGATATTGGGAAGAAATTCTTCCCTGGGAGGGTGGGGAGGCCCTGGCACAGGTTGCCCAGAGAAGCTGTGGCTGCCCCATCCCTGGAAGTGTCCAAGGCCAGGTTGGATGGGGCTCTGAGCAACCTGGGCTAGTGGAAGGTGTCCCTGCCCATGGAAGGGGGGTTGGAACAGGATGATTTTTTAAGGTCCCTTCCAACCCAAAGCATTCTGTGATTCCTTGTCTCTGATGACCTGAGCAATTCCAGATATATCCATCTACACATGGAGCACACAGAGAGGACAGCTATTGAGCTAAATAACTGTGTCATTGAAATTGCCTTATTTTACCATGGAGTTATTTTTCTAAAATTATATCAGTGAATTCTTACTGCAGATTTTTATTACAGAGTGACAGATCTATACTTATAGCCTCCATACATACAGTGCTGCAGGAGGAAGAAAGTTGCAGATGCTGTGATGTCCCTTTACAGTTCCTACAGATCTGAACTGCAGTAGAAAACAAAGAACCATATTTTCTAAACAGGGTTGAGAGTTGTATTAAGTATTATTTTTAATTAATTTATTCTAGACCTTTAAAATAGATCACGAAAAGCATCTTCAGACTAGTTACAGCAAGATCATTGCTCACAGTATCTCTCATGGAAAGCTGGGCCAACAATGTTCACTGGAGTTCTGAAAACAGTAGAAATTACAGTCTAAAGCAGCTTATTCTTCCCCAAATTTTGTAATGCAAGAGCAAGAGACAGAGAATTCAGAATCTTCTGAACAACGCTATGGAGAGAATAAAACTCTTCTATGTTAAATTAAAAAATGTTGAATTTGTTTTTAATATCAGTAAATGAAAGGAAAAGTTATAATATGCTGAATTATAGGCATTTAAATCAAACAATAACAGAGGCAACTGATTACTCTCTGCTTCTATTTTTACTTATTTTCACCACTCAGAAGAGAATCAGTCAACAGTAACAGCTCACCCATTAAATAACACATTTACTTAACAGATTTCAAATACCAAGTATTTGGCCAAACCTATTAGTGTATTAAAAACTATAATAAGACAGTAACCAGCTAATGAAAAGATACTGCCCAAGGCCCTGCAAGGGTACCCTGCTTTCCCAGGCACTTTCGGGTTCACACCAGGTAAAACCCACCAAGAGAAATCAGGAGTCTCATGCATCGTAGCTCATTAGTGAATAGAAAACAAACCACAAGTCCTCTCCAATCACACATTCCTAAAGGAATGGTGAGTAGCTGTTTCCTTGCGAGTCTTGGAATCATCGAATTGTCAAATGTCCAGTTTAGAGTTTGTTTTTCACAATGTGCAAATGTACTAACAGCAACATGTACAGTCAAGTGAAAAAAAAATCTATTAAGCAGTCAACCTTAGTCTCGACCTAATTCCACAAACAATTAAGATAAAAGTATCTTAAAAGCAAACAAACACAAAACTTTTTTCTTCAAAATCCAGTAAAAGAACAGGTATAAACATGGGTAGCTACAGAAAGCAAGGAGGGGGGTTATTTCACAATAAAACATTGATTTCCCAAATCCATCTGTAAATGGAAACATCCATGCACTTGGGGTTTTCTTTATTTTATGTATTTCCTTTCCTTACAGCATGTGCACGATATAAACAACAAATCCTCGTTTAAGCAGTTCAACAGACTGCAAAAATACTACAGGTAAACACCTCACTCTGTTTTCAAACACTACATTATTTGCCACAAAATTTTACCCAAATATTTAGACAACCAAGCAGCAGAGACAGAAACTTGTCAACTTATTTGAGACAACCACGGCCCCCAACAGAGGTTTATGAAACACTACTACTAAGCCTAGAAGAGCTGGTGCTAACTAAACAGAACTGCAGTGCTGGCTTAAGAGGGAGTGGCTCACTCCTGTTTCTCCAAAGCCCGTTCGAAACACTCCTTTCTCCTCGCAGAGGGGAAGCACCGAACTCGTTTCCAAGCAGTAGGAGCAGTTGCTGGTTCTGCTTTACAACCAGCCTGTTTTTACTAGTACCAGAAACTTATGATTAAAAACAAGGAAAGAACATCAAACCCTGGTCACACACACACAGAGAAGCCAGAATCACTATACCTAAAATATTAAATTATGTTTACCTACCAAAAAAAAAAAATCATACTAGAGTATTAGGAACGCAAGGGTAAGTGTATTACCAAAAATTATGAACTACATAGTAAGTTAAAAACAAACCAAAGAGATTTTTAGTGCACATCACGTCCGTATGATGACAATAAACAGCACTGAGTGACCATCACACAGGCGGGTGCCAGAGGATGGTGCCAGGCTCTGTTCAGCGACAGGACGAGGAGCAATGGCCACAAACTAAAACACAAGAAGTTCCACCTCAGCATGAGGAAGAACTTCTTTACACGAAAGGTGGCAGAGCACTGGAAGAGCTGCCCAAGGAGGTCGTGGAGTCTCCCTCTCTGGAGTCATTCCAAGCCCACCTGGACGCGTCCCTGTGTCACCTGCCCCAGGTGACCCTGCCCTGGTGGACTGGATGGTCTCCAGAGGTCCCTTCCAACCCTACTCCCGGGATTCTGTGGTTTCCCCGTGAGCGCCCCGGGTACACCTACCTGGGAAGGAACTTGGGCGGGAGAGCAGCGCCCGGCGGGAATTAAAACACAAAACCCCACCAGCGCCGGAGCGGCGCCGGGCACAGGGCGGGAACCCCAGAGTGCCCCTCACCGGCCTCACAACAACACCCGCCCGCGCCACATCACCGAGGGGGACGAACAGACAGACACACCCGACACACAGCACCCACGGCCGCCCCCGC